GGAAACTTCCAAAAGAAAGAATAGTATTGTTGTGGTCTAGTGGATAAGTCGACGGACTGTGGATCACAGGGTCCGTGGATCGAGTCCTGCCGCGGCACTAATGTCCTTTGGCAAGACATTAATCTACATTTGCCACTCTCCACCCAGGTGTTAAATGGATACCGGTAGGAAGAAATTCCTTGAATGATGTGAGCGCGGAAATCGGCTGCCTAGCAGAGCCGAGTGATATTCGGAGCGCCTTGAGCACTTTGGATATGTGCGGTGTATAAATATCGATATTATTTATTATTATTATTAATTACTTTCCCTCTCGTGATAGAAACACAATCAACCTGATCAGTTACTATAGAACAAATGAAGAGTAATTAACATTAAGACTGGACGTACGAGGAAGTGAAAGTAAAAAAATATATTTTCAAGTGGAAATTACTGTAAACATTAAGCTGTTGTGACTCGTATTTTATAGCATGCATATACCAGGGATATGTGATCCCTGCATAGACATTATAGGAAATTGCCTATGTTTATATGCCGGTATAGACACAGTGCAGTTTGAGCAGTCTTGTATAAGGCTCGGTTTTAGTGTGTGCCAAATGTATATTAACATTGAAGTATTTTCATTCCAGAATGACGGGATATATTGGATTATACGTAATGACGTTCCTTTTGGTCAAATTATCTAGTAAGTAGCCGAATCTTCTCCTTTTGTTTTTGAATGTAAGCCTATTTTAACGTGACAAAGAGAAAGTTGGAAACCTAATCTAAGATGTAGATCACAAGGAAACAATGCGGTTTGTGTCAAGATTGGCGACTCACCAACTTGGCTGCTGGTAGTAATATAAGTCGTATGGTCAATATTGTTATGAGAGTATATGCATAATCATAACATGTTAGGAGCACGTGGCTGGTGCTACAGAACTAGCTATCCCTGAGAGGTTCAAACCATATCTTAAAGCTTAGTCCTCTCACCCGCCAGGCAGCAACCTTCCAAGGAAGCCCCGGATTGAACCGAACTGCCTAAGGTTTGCAGCAAGTACGAAACTCAGAGACTCTGACCTGTGTACATGTTGTCAAATTCAGACATTTGAGCATGTTCTGAATGAGTGTGCTGTAGCAGGACCCCATTGTCACCTCACTAAAAAACTGTTATCATATTTAAACGATTGTCAGTCTTAAATAGCTATGGTTGATATACGAAAAGATAAAGATATGGCTGCTAATACTAGCCAATATTTCATTTGCTCTGAATCAGTAAACAGAATAGAGTGATCTAGTGAATGAAGCGATGAGCTTTGAAAAGTGAATAACTTAGATTCAAGTCCACGTCCTTGAGCCAAAGTGCCTTTGTTATACATCCTCAATGCTAGTTATCTATCGTCCCTTTTCCGGCAGCTTTCTAATATGATTTTTTTTCCTCCGCTCTTTGGTCCAATGAATCAAACACTGTGTTCGTGCAATGATTTAGCCTATTAGAACCTTGTTGATTATCATGATTATGCACTTCTTTCATATACAAGTGCATGTAGTCTGAATCGCACAGGCTTCAAACTAATACTTTGATAGTCCTTCTTATATTGTCAATCATAAAGCCTACATTATATATTATGTTGCATTGTTCGTTGGATATTTATCCTTATTCTTCAGTAACTAAAGTAATCAACATAAACCTCCCAAAGTATTTTTCGGTCGTTTAATAATTCAGACGATATGTTTATAATATATATATAATTTTATCCGTTATCATTAAATAAAAATGCCTTCAAATGAATGAACGTTTGTGATCCATGTTAGACTTGCCTCGACTGTTTAATCCTACATCAATACGCTAGCGACCTTGTTTAAAAAAATACAATATATGCATGGAAGTTTGTGATATATAGAGTGAGAGAGTGAAGAAATATGAATACTGTGAATGCATCGAGGGAAATCTAATGTACAACATGGAAGACACTAATACATAATTTTAATTTGTTTGTCTCTCTGGAATATTCTTAAATACATTCGATCTGTCATATGCTTATCGAAATTGTGACTTACACATATCATGTCAGCACCTTCTTGTCTGTCATTGTATGTTATCCTACAAGAGTTATTAGTAGTTTTAAAAATCACATCATTACAGGTTCCGCATGAGATTTCTGGGGAAAGATGAGTTCTTCTTCTTCTTCTTCTTCTTCTTCTTCTTCTTCTTCTTCTTCTTCTTCTCCGCTATAAGTTCAGGCCGCCGTCGGGTGTAGTGTCGTATACTGATTGTACGAGAGTGTGGAGTGTGGAAAGTTTAGTTTGCAGTGGAAATAGTTTATAAAAGGTTGATCACACTCATTTTGATATACATCGATGTCAAAAATAACTTAGAACCAGCTTAGAACCACGGACGACAGCATGCTTATATATCAAAGCAAGAGGCACCGACAAACTTACGATTGCTCAATGCTGAAACATTACTGAACTAATACTAGGCCTGCTAGCCTCTCACGTTGGTCACAAATTCGTGTACAAGACCTCCTCAATGATATACAGTGAAACCTGTCTATAAAGACCACCCAGGGGAGACAAGAAAAAGTGGTCTTTAAAGACAGGTGGTCATTATATACAGGTTTCTTCAGTACATGTTCCAATGAGAAACCATTTTCAAGGTAAACAACAAAAATGGTCTTTGTAGACAGGTGGTCTTTCTATACAGGTGGTCGTTAAAGCAGGTTTGACTGTATCACTAAAAGTGGACACGTCTTTAAGAGTACATGTAAGGTAGTATTTGGAGTAGTTGGCCCCTCTATATATTGTTAGACCTAAATAAGTGTCAAGTATTTTGGTACATGATCACGTTTACACATGATTATGCTTGATAAAGGTATTCTCCATAAAGTAAATAAAGGTGTTGGTTTCATGTAATTTATTCCTTCAAAGTGATGACAAAGACTTATTTCTATTTATAATCAGTGCCATTTAACAAAGAAACATTTATAATTTTGAAATTGCTAATTCATATAAACTGTAAAAATGAAGGTATTGGGAGTTGTTTTTTTTTATGCGTGTGCCGGTAATAATATTAGAAAAAGCGTAATCGATTAAGCTCTTTTAACGCAACAGTTATACTTTCATAACAGAGACTGCACATGTTTATCCACTAGGTATATCTTTCCCCATCTGATTTTAATAAACTTTTGTTCAGTTCTTGTTCGTGAACAAACAAAAGAAATGAAATTTGGCTTCACGAGGTGCCTCGATTTAGCTAATGACTATGTTACGTGGAAAGAGCAATCATTCTTCATAACAACATTTAGGTTTAAAAACTGTCATAAGTCACTTGACTCGTTTTCAAGTGTTCCCTCAACACAGCACTTGAGGTATATTATATTTTCCCGAGAATGTTTTGAGGTAAGATCATTCGTTATCAAAATACAATTAGCTATTTCCATACGACCCAACCTTCATTTCCTTTTATTCAAGGGTGTCGATTTGTATCCGTGGTTGGGGGGATGATAGGTGCCAAAATATTTTCGGCAATGGATTAAAGCAACCAAGAGGTAGAAGCGTGTGACAGGTTGCACCCCTCCCCCGCGAAGCGCGGAAGCTTTGACGTTTCATTAAATTATTAGAGAAAGAAGACGATTCGTTGGACCGTTCTCGACTCTTAATCCTTGTTTGAATCAAGTTCCCCTCCTCCGCGCGTAGCGCGGAACCTCTGACGTTTCATCAGATTATTAAAGAAAGAAGACGATTCGATGTACCGTTCTCGACTCTAAATCCTTGTCTGAATTCAGTTTCCCCGCTCCCGCGCAAAGCGCGCAAGCTGTCTCCTTGTCTCCGATCTCATCACGAATTCGTCAAAGAGTTCATCTATGTTTACACTGTCCAGGATTGTCTGATGTGCATTGCAGATTGCTACTTTTGCGCTTCGCGCTTAACATTTAGCTCGTTGCAAACACTGCGTCTTTGCATTTGGCGCACTGCATTTCTATGATACTGTTGATTGAACAAATTGAATTTAATTAAAACTTATTTTATATGTGTATTTTATTTTGAATGTAATTTTGTTTTCTGGTTTAAACATGTATGATTTGCATTTGTGGAATAAAGTTAAAATTATATCAAGTAAAACTAAAATCTAAGATATACCATTTTATAAAGGAACCGATAGCGATACTATGTAAGAGTGTAAAAAGGGCTTTGCTTTTAGCAGTGAGATGAAGTGTCATGATAAAAATAATCATCCAATCTGAAATCCTTTGAGCCATATTCTATTAGCACATTTCGACTTGTCGCTATAGAGTTGTCTTTTTAAAGAGGAAAATGAATATAATCATTGGCATTATTTAGCAGATTTTAATGTTTGAGTGTGTTTTGAAACTCGCAACCTCATTCTTTCGTTCATCTTATTCCTTTGCAGTTCAGCAACAAATTACGGTCCCAACTGGTTCCAGTGTCAGACTCTCGTGCGCATGTGCCAAATCTAGGTCCCTCCACACTTCTGTCCAATCACCGATCACTTGGACTTTTACGTCATCGTCTGGACCAATATGCATCGCTAATTGGACAGGCGTAAAGAAGGATGCCGTATCTTATTCATCGACCACTAAGTATCGCATGGTAACAAAACGTTGGCTCAAAGGCGACCTTGTTATCTCCCACACATCGCCGGCAGATCAAGGAAACTACACATGTGAAATCACTAGACGGTGTACTGTTTTATTGGATATCAATGGTAAGATTTGTATAAGCCATAGCCATCAAGGCATCCTTTGATTGAACAGTACAACTTTCAAAATCATATTGGCCTATCCATAATAACTTTCAAAAGAACTGCCCTTTAAAGTCATATTAGTTGTGTTTTATAAGCAAAAGACATCTCAATTCCTTTATTTCTATACCAGACTGGATTTTTCGTTTAAAAGTATTAATAGTCCAACTTGACATGAACGATTGTAGTTTAGATTGACAGGAAATGTGGATGCAGTGACCTGGAAAAAAAAAATCGGTGCCTTGAATGCTTTCCTTTTATTAGACCAACATGAATGAGGAGAACTCATGATTTTTTAATATGTTTATTGGGCATCAAACCTTCTTGACTTTGTAAACGCAAAATGATAAAACAAGTAAATTTGAACATGTTGGGACACATCAACGATTTACCATTTCTTGGAGGACATACCATTTTTTTTAATGGCACCTGGAGTCCATGGCCTCTCGGGTACTTGGGGCATCTCGTGACAATAATATAGTTTCAAAACTAAGTTGATAATTAGGTGCTTAAGAATGAATTATGGTGACATCGAGCGGAAACTAACAATTTAGAGAGTTTCATACTCGATGAATAATAGCCCCTTTCAAAGTGTAATATATTGATAGATATCATGACCCTGTTTTTCCTCTCATTATATAGGTCTCTGTTTCGCTTCATAAGCCATTCCCTCGATCTTCTACCATGGATTTCCTATCCAAATTATGATTGAGGATTACATCGATAATCCATGTCTGTAATTTTCTTAAATCCTTTTTCCCCCTTCATATTTCGATAGGGCGTTTTCTACTCATTAGTGAGCATTAATGGGGTCATCAATCAACAATGCAAGCCCCTTTGCTAAATCCAAAGTTAATACCAATAACGAAAACAATGACTTGGCTTTACGAGACATAGTTTAAGGAACACATTTTCGTAACAAATTTGTGCACGTCTCGTATACAAAATCCTTTTAATCTTGCTATTTTAGTAAATTCATTTATTTTTTTCTGTTCTAGTACCTGTTTCAGAGGTCTTTATAACCATCAACAGAGGTCCTTTTCTAAAAGCTGGAGATGTCGTGACGATTGCGGAAAACGACCGCGCCATTTTCAAGTGTTACTCAATAGGCGCCAAACCAGCGGCAAGCATCACGTGGTCACTCTCGCGTATACCAATCAGGATCCAAGTTACGAGTGTGTCGTTCAGCAGCTTCACGTACAAAGGTCGCTATGATGCTGTCAGTACACTGATTGTAAGGCGTGCGACCATGCTAGGGTACAACGACCAACCGTTGACATGTCGGGGTTCGGGGGCTAGAGCCTCCATGGCCAACTCGTCAGTTTGGCTGCGTATTGTAGGTGAAGTCCGTCGACATATAAAATACGTTCATTATAGCTGCATATTGCTACAGCCATACATAAAAATGTACATCTTTATTATCTTTAAAATGTTTAAGAAATTAAAAAACTGTTTATGAATATTTGCTAGCATAGCATTATAGAATGCATATGTACAGAGGGCTCAAATATACGTACTCTAAAAAAAAAACGATAATAGTATACCGTTTAACTTTTGCACACTAGATAGCCTAGCAATACGTAGATATATTCAAGTATCTTGTATTTGTTTCCTTTGCAATATTAGATGACAAAGACTTTGTGAAAATGTTTTTCACCAGTGAACCTGGCAGTTAATGACATAATGAAGTAGAAAAGTAAGATTTCATATTGACATTCCATCTCAATATATAAATCTATCCTGCCCTTAAAGATGTTATTCGGTAACATATATCGAAATAACTGATTACATGTATTTATTTTCTCTTGAATTCAACCTAACAGCTCCTCTCTCCCCACCAACGATCACGGGGAATACAAACATTACCCTCTCTACTACACAGCGATCCGTCTTCTTGAGCTGCTCCACCATTAACTCCTACCCTCTGGCTATCATCCAGTGGTCTGTTGGAGGTGAAGATCATAGTTCTACCATCCATCATCAGGAGAGGTTTGGACGATTCGATGTGACCGCTCATCTAGAGCTGGTAGTAGATGGTAGTGATGATGGGTTGGAGATTGTTTGTAAGGTTTCATCTCCATTGCAGACTTTGAACAAGTCAGTCACATTGAATGTACTTGGTACGTATAGTTTGTTACGATCATAATTTGAATGTCAACTATATAAATTGTTGTCTACAATTAAGTCTTATGGTTTATTTGCCATTGCATACTTTGAACAAGTAAGTCAAGCTGTGAGTTCGTGGTAAGTCTTGTTCTTCTTCAGATGGACATACAGATAAATAAAGAAATAATCAGCTTTACCAGCTATGAGATGGTCGCGATAGAGGTTTGGGGATTCGTTTTATTGTCTTCTTCCTTGTCTATGTCTGTTTAAGTCCGAAGAGAGAAAAAAAAATCAGGGTGAGGATATGACATGCACGAAAGAAAGAAGGAAAATGATGTCGGGAATAAATGATCAAACTTTATTGATATAAAGTTCAATTTTCTCGTTTTTTTAAATCATAGGAACAATTTTCACGTAAAACTTCAAAATTGATATATTTTTCATTGCCGGGATATGGTTGAACTCTTGCAATATTCTTGTTTGAGGCGCTTTCCTAAACTATCCATATAACTTTACAGCCCCTCCACTAGGTATGACGGTTAATTGGACAGAGAAGCCCGTGAAAGAGGGGGACTCCTTGACGGTGCTCTGTACAGCATTTGGCGCCAATCCCAAACCACATGTATACTGGGAAACCTCATCACACAGAATCAATGACGTCATGCGGCGGGATGGGAATACAGCCACGAGTTTGCTCCGTCTTTCACCCGTGACTAGAACAGACGCGGGCCTATACAGTTGCCTTGCTGACAACCAGATAGCCTCTGCATCAATCATCAGGAGTTTTACACTAAGAATTTACTGTAAGGAAAATATGAAGTCCAGTAATCAAGGAATGAGTGATAATCCCGTCACAAGGACTCTTAGAAAATTAATGAAGAAAGAAAACTTAATACCATTATGTAATGATAGGTCATTAAAATTTTCGGAATTTCACAAGATGACGCACATGGCTATTGAAATAAGCTTAGGTTGGTTTTTCGAAAATCCTTTAAATAGTTTTGCAGTGAAATTTGTATTAGGTTGTTTTTTCAATAGCAATAGAAAAATGTCAAAAGTGAACTTATCATCAAGAGTTTTACACTTAGAATTTATTAATATAAAGTCCAGTAATCAAAGAATTGAGTGATAATCTGCTCCCAAGGACTCTCAAGAAATTAATGAAGGAAGAAAACTTGATACCATATTGTCTAGTTCGGATTATGTAATGATTTTTCAATTTTCAAAAGTATTTGTTATCGTGATTCCTATATTCATTTATTCCTTTATTTATTTTTGAATTCAACTTTAGTTCAATTAATTGAGGGAAACATCAGAAACGACTACACAGTGTACTGAAAATTACTTTTAGTTGAAGAGTAAATTTTGCTTCAGTTAATGATTCCGCCTTGAAATGTTTACTTCTTCAGTCACCCTTTAACTAACGTAAAATATAAACCGCATCGTATGATGAGCAGCTTAAAGGTAATACAAAGTTTTGGAAAATTTTGAAAATTGGCTGGATAAAGATTTTCTACATTTTTGAAACATTTGGATGCCTCTGTGGATGTATTATTTAGGCACTAAAAAAATTAGCCCCTTTACACTTCTGCTTCCGAGAAAAATTGAATATCAAAATTTACCGGTGCCAGGTAAATTTCCGTAATTTTCAGATAGCGCATACGGCCATACAATGGTACTGTAGCCGCGACCATGAAAATCTCAGAATATGTAGTTGGGTTTTTAATTTTCAAACGAGAATAGCCAATCGGTCAATTTTAGTCAAGAAACATGGTTTTACAGCTAAATTAATATCTTGACCTTGAGAGGGAGCTTTACAACGAAAGGAGTTTATTATTAACAATTTCATCACTTTAGACACGATTTCAACCGCGACAACGATCACTGAATATTGTAAGATTGCATATGGTTCCAATATGTTCATTTGAACCAAATTCATGACCCCATACCAAAACTTTGTGATACCTTTAAAAGTTCAATATATCGGTTAGCTAATATGGCTAGTTGTTATTTCTGTAGTTTCTTAAATTGCCTCAAATACTTATTGATCCATGAACAAATTTTTAGAGCTGAGTACTGAAACCGTTGAAACCTGTAATTCCATAAAGACAAATTTGTCATCAAAATAATGAATCAGAATAGCAACATTATATCTGAAAAACATTATGATCATGTTACTCTTTGAAGTAACTTTCTCATATTTAAAATATATTTTTCTTCGAATTTAGATGAGCCAAATATCATAACAACATTGCGAACCATGACTATTCCACGATACGAGGACACATTCAACATTACCTGCATCGCAGAAGCAATACCACTTCCTGTAGTTGAATGGACGAGTCCATCTTATATGACCAACCTCTCCCGACCTATCACAGAGGTATTCGGTACAACGATTGTGAGTCTCATGCAGATACCAGGCGATCGAGGCAACCTGCTGCCTACCACATTCAACATGACTTGTTCAGCAAGTAATATTGTTGGAAGAACGACATGGACCATTGAAATCAAATATGGTAAATTTGTATAGTACGAGGGAAACTATGGTAACGACATATGTTATTATAAACCAAAACTTTAGGACTTTGTATTGTTTATTCTTTTGATTTTCTAAATAAATGTTGTGAAGAAACGTTTTCTCTTGTATATATGCACTAACTTGAAAGACCAACAATAGATAAAAGAAGTCGTTAACATATAGGGCGAGAGATATTGGGAGGGGGAGGGGGAGTAAGAAGAGGAGGAATAGAGAGAGAGAAAGAGAGAAAGAGAGAGAGAAAGGGATGGAGTAAGATGGTGAGTATAGGAGACTACAGTAACGAGCAAGAATTATTTTCCCATATCGTTTCATTCCAAAGCACTGTTTAATGTACGAGAATATAAATATACCTTTTCTTGGTTTCACATGTCACTTTCAGGCGAGGTCTCCGATGATGTAGATGAGGACGTCGACCCGACAGCTCCCTTAACAGTAGACCTACCTATTCTCTGTGATGGTAATATTCATTTTATCTCCTGTTTACACTTTTGGGACAATAGGCCTATAACATTATGATGAACTTACTACTCCCACCGATCGGATAGTTATACTATTTGATTTGTTTTTTTAATTACATTTATTATCCTCCATGTTTTTACCAACGTCATAGATTTAACGTCATACAAATGAAAATAATCATGTGATTAGCATTATGTTTTTGTTTCTCGAACAGATAACCCACGTGGGATTCCAAAGATGCCTGTGGAGCGCCCACTTTTGATTGCATTGATTTCAGCCTGTTTTGTCTTCTTACTGATAGTCTTAGTATGGCACACGAGAAGGAGGTTAAAAATGGACGAATTTTGGGGTGAGTAAAAGGAAAATAGAACAAGACCAAGATACAGCCAAAATTCGGGACTGAATGACTCCTCCTTTCTTGATAAAGATGTGTTGATTTCCTTTGACTCGTGTGAGGCGCAAGTTAATAGTTCCAGACTGAAGTCAATGAATATACATCCAGGCAGGTCATTCAGCCTAAAATCTAGGCTAGATAAAATCCTCTCTCCCTCTTTCTTTTTTTTTCTTCTTCCCACTTTATCCCTCTTCCTTAATCTGAAATGAGCTAATGCTCTAATCACACACTCCCATAACATGATGATTTCATTTGAAATATTGATAAACTGGAGGAAGAAAATATAATATTTATGTTCCATCCAGACACGTAGCAATTATATTCATCCTTCATGATGTTTCTTTTCTCTGACGCAGTTGTCCGTAGGGAAGGATTCTACGTTGATATGAACAGAAGACGAGCTGGCATACCAGGTATGGAGCAAAATATAAATCATTTATCTTCGTTTTGGGTATTCATTCTACTCAAAAGTTATGATGACCTTGGTAAACAGTTACAAGCCATCAATGTTTTGATCTATTCTAGCCCTAATGACGTATGAATCATAATTACTCAACTCCTTTGATTAAGGACATCAAGCGGAAGCTCAATAAAAATACAGTTTGAGGTGGATCCAAAGAAAATGGGGAGGGACCGTGGAAGAAATTTCAAGCTTCCTAAATGCTTTCTATTGGAATAAAATCCTAATGGAATAAACTCCTAATACAGAAAAAACACAATCAAAACGTCATAAAGCTAAATATAATATTAGCAAGGGAATTGAAAATTAGCTTTAAATCACTTCGTTAAAATGTGGGATTATATTGCCTCAAGAATAATGCAGTGTAGGTTTGCAAACCGGCTTTCGAACGTGCTATCTTCCCGATTAAAACAATATTTTGTCTTACCACTAGACAATCGAGATGTATATTGCTAGGCCTTATTGACAACCCACCCATTATTTAATGTTTTCTCACAGATCAATTAAGAAAGAAAGATCAGATACGTGTTACCATTCATATAAGTATACTAATTCTCCCACCCGGAACAAAAAAAAAGAACCTTTTATTTTCCAAGTTGGTGGCTGGGGAATTTGTTGTAGTTACTTGTCAGAGAAGTGGGTATCTGAGCCCCATTTTTTGTTTGTGATAATTTTGTTTAAGATGTATGCCTTCCCCGTCAAAGAATTATTCATCCGCCACTGGTTACCTCAGACCTTGTTTTCTGCGATGTTATGGTTAGCAAAGAGTTTTTATTTAATATTTAATGTGAAATGTACCAGAAGCAAAAGCATATCACGTGGCATTCATTATAAAGCGTTCAATTAAAGCCCAATATGTACAATCTTGCCCTCATTATAAACCATAAAGATTCATCTTTGAAATGTATACAGCTGTCAACATGGTCGAATTAATTTTTCGTATCATGTTGACATCTCTCAGCCCCCCCTTCTTCTCCATTAGACACTTTTTTGGTCAGATGATGAGTATTTCATCAGCCGGAGGGGGCTATCAATGATATATGCTCATAGCAAGGAAAACACATCCCAAAAGGGAGCCCAATGAGAAAATACAAAGTAATGCCCTCTGTTTCGCGGATATGGTATTTGTAACATCCCATGACCATAATCAGGAATACACGTTGGAAAAATCGAATTTACACAAAAACCCCAGTATAGAATGAGAAGTGGACAGTGCATCGAAGAAGACAAGAGGAAACTGAGGGAAAAAGAAGAGACACGAGCCAGAAAATAATAAATGAGGCATATTTAAAAACATAAAATAAATGAATAGTATTTCGGAAAGGCCGTTGCAGTGTGGTCATAACATTATTCCTATAGAATGGAATGAAGGAAATATCCTATTCTTGATGCTGGATAGCATCAAGTTCTTATCGTTCATAGTATTGCTCATTATCAACACATATTACATTTAACAATACATATTCATTCCTAAAGAAATCTAAAACCTCAGTTTTATTTTTCAGTGACATAAGTCCATGTAGTCCTAAAGCATCAGTAAGCCCCTAAAATCAATATCCCGGAATTCTGTGGTTTTTGTTGTTTCGTAAAATGCTCATAAATCCAAACAGCTGCTGTTGTTTTCTTTGATGGTGTTCATTTGTTTTCTGTTCACAATACATAATGATGAAGTGATGCCTAAATACTATGACGCTTTATAAATCTATCATGACAGATTAATGAACACATATCACATGAAACATTTCAACAAAATATTTCAATTAGGTACATCAAAACAACGAAAAGTCCCACAACGACCAAGCCCCATTTCCTCATGAAAAAATATAATTGCAGGTTACGTCCAACTGTGGACAAGATTCATCACAGCTTGGGTTCACCTAAGCAGTCCTAGATGTGAAAATTTAGCCATTTATCACTCGATCTTTTACCTCTAGGGACAACACTCATCTATTGACCTAATGACCAGTATAACTGGGTCATAGTGTGACGTACGTGACCACGGGGGCATAGTCACAAGGTCATTAAGAAAAGACTATTATCATTAACTTTTATATCTTCGCAATTATTGTAATGATTAATGCTTCTTTACCTAATTATCTTCTTCCACTTTTTGATTTGTTGCTTTCCCATTAGGGAGCATGGATCATTTTACAAAGATCACTTCTCCCAAAGTATTTTCCACCTGTTCTCTTATTTGTGCCTCTTCTCCTCTTTCCTTCTTTCTTGCTCTTTATCAACTATTTTCCTCCTCTCTCTTTATACTACACTCTAGTAGAACCGTATGCCCTCTCACCTTATGCACCCTCTCTTATGTCTCTAGTTCTCTCTCTCTCTCTCTCTCTCTCTCTCTCTCTCTCTCTCTATCATCTCTCTCTCTCTCTCTCTCTCTCTCTCTCTCACTCTCTCTCTCCTATCTTCTTTGTCTGTATCTCCTACCCCTGTTCTCCATTCCTGTCATCTCTAACCCCTGCTCCCATATCCCCTCTCTTTCTCATTGTAATTCTTCCTCCATGCTAAACTCCCTCTCACTCTCTCTCTCCCTCACACACCACCCACACACCCATACACCCACACAGATACACACATTCATACACTATCTCCAGCATGTCAAATGAAATATCACCCTCTCCCTCTTCTTCATAATTTATTCTATCAATTTTTCTTTCTCTATATATTATAAGTTTTTATTTTATACATTAATTGTATTTCTTGCCCTTCCCTCTCCTTTCTCTCTCTCTTCTTTTACCACATGTCCCTAATTTTGGCCCATATTGTCTCTCCCCCTCTCTCTCGCTCTTCTCTCTCTCCCTCTCTCTCTCGCTCTTCTCTCTCACTCCCCCTCTCTCTCGCTCTTCTCTCTCACTCCCTCTCTCTCCCCATCCTCTCTCTCCCTCCCCCTCTCTCTCTCTTCTTTCTCCCTCCCTATCTCTCCCACCTTCTTTATTAACTCGGTGAAGGACAAAGAAAGACTACATCTCACCGAAAAGACCACGTAGCAAATAAGTATTTTCCTCACTTATTTATACATGCTATTACTGTGACCCTGTCTCACAAATTCTTTTCTTCCAACAGGAATACCAACAGTAGATGAATTAGAAGCAGTAAGCACCACGACTAGTCCACGACTCACCCCTTCATCGGGAGCATCCATTCGATTTGAGTTCGTCTCTCAGCAAAGTAAGTTTAGCACGATCGCAAAGACTTTCGAGAAATCAATTCAAGAGCAATTTCGATACCCTATTGTAAATGTAAATGCCTTAGAATCATAAACGCTATACATGATACGTTCTTGTTATGCTCGCACATTTCATTAAAAGGATCCGGTAACTTTGTCTCAGATTCTAAAACAAAATCCTGGATTTAGCTCATACTGCAATGAGAATTATAAACCTTTAGGTCAGTCAGGAACCCCATGACTTTTACAAGCCGATCGCCTGTCTGATTATCAAGATATTTATGATTGTAAATCGAAACCAAATTGTGCGTTTTCTTAACGGTTTTCATAATACTACGGTCTATTGGAGAAAACGAGTATAGTAAAACCGGTCACTCAAAGGTTTTTACTTTTTGAGGCACTCCTTGAATATTTTGAAGCGCAATTTTTGTTAAGGCTTCAATATTACACCATATCAGAGACACTGATAACACGTAGGGCTGTGCATCTCAGATTTAACATTGTTGAACGATTAAGTGACTAGAAAAGTCTCCTGAAATTGCCTGAGTTTGCTTTTGTTAGTCTTTGCGATCGTCTTGTTTCGACATTTGCATTTGGCTTGTCACTAGATAACTAACTAAAGTAGTACTTGATGTAGTCTACGTAAAAATAATCCTATATAGGATATCATTTCAAAGAAGATCCGTTTCGAATTTCTAGTTAATATTTTGATTAACGTCATGCTAACGTCATACAAATGTCAAGGGAACTGTTTTGTAACAGAATATCCCAATATTGTGATGTTTATTTAGTAAACTTTTTTACTTCATGGTTTTGAATAATAATGAACCCAACTTACGAACATGGAATCCAAATAATAGAAAATTCACGCCAATCAAATTGGTTTGTTGTATCAAAGAAAACTAAAAAAATCGAGGAAACACTATGAAAAAAACAAAAAAAACACTTCACATTATTTTAGTTTATTATACCTTAGACAAGAAGGTCAACAATTATATTATTGAGAATAAAAATAATAAGATATTCAAATAATAACCCTTCAAACCTCCTTTGATACACAAAACAGAATCTTGAAACACTTAATAATAAGTGTTTCAAGATTCTCTTTTGTACAATGGCGTGGAGAACCACAAATCGAAGATTTCTTTTAACATCAAATCTTAACGTTCCGCTGAAAATTAAATTATGTGAAAAATGCTATTCACGTATATAACTTCCAACTTAACTTTTCAAAATTAGGCCGTGAAATATGTTATTAAAAAGTAAAACCATAAGATAATAAAAGTATTCCAAATATCTTTATAATCCCAATGAAATTTTGAATAATCACGAGATGTTACAAGGACTTTAAGAATCATGACTCTCAATAGTGCAATGTGAAAAATGCTATTCACATAAATGCTTGTTTCCTGTTTTCTAGCGGTCGAAATAAAGGCAACGATTGCGTCACTTAAATCGGATCTCTATGCAAAACATCTAACACCTCACATTTGCCTAAACAGAGAATTTAAAGGGGATTGCTACACACACCCCATGTGACGATATTGTGATTGAACGGATATTTCTCCACAATCGTCCTGATATTGAGGACAGTTTTTGCATTGAATCATATGTAACATTCAACACATTTTTCATGGCGTTGGTTCGCAGTGTACATGAACATTATTTACGAATATTGAAAGAAATTTGGCATTAATTTCCTAAATTACTCAACAACATAGAAAGCTATAGAACTGAAGATGGAATCAAATTTCTATTAATCAGAATAATGGCCACTAGGCTGTGAAGTCTCATGCATCTTAATACTCTTCAGGGAAACAATGCACGTACTTGGAATTTTGTAAACAAAGGACTGAGTTGATTGAAAATGACATTGTTTTATTCATGAACATGAAAGAATCTTATACAAGTTCGTGAACATGAAATGATTCAACTCACGTAAGTGTACGTTGTAAAGTTAACAATGATAAGTTTAAAGTCACATACAAAGTTCCTGTCATCTGAAGAACAACAAGCTAACATTAGTCACACCTTCGTAATAAATGCAAACAATTAGGCAACAGGATACAATACAGATGATATTTAATAGGAAAGATGTATTCTACTCATCACAACAAATTCGTACAGGTTATAAGGAAAGAAAGTAATCATGCAAAGTAAACAGTGTCTTACTGTGTTTTCAATGACCTGGAACACTGCAGATAGAGTATCTCAGTCACTATTAATTAGTTAATATGACCTATTTCTTTCTGCAGGTGTAGAGAACACATATGACGCGATACCCGTTGTGAGTGCCATGCCATCATCAGTGCAGCCTAGGAGAAGGGTACGTTCTTTATAATGTCACATATCAAACAAATAATGAATGGTTATGAGTTCAATAGTGCGGATATTTTGAAAGATTTTAAAAGATTAACATTTTATTCAAAGAGGCGTCAGCCGAGTTGAATAGAATTAACGTTGATCTTTCAACGTATGAAAATACTTGCACTATTAACGAATGAAAAACATTCATTATTTGTTTTAGACAACATCAAAGAAGATCTAATAGAGTAATAGAACGTTAATCAACAAATTATGCTTTACTCCTTATATTTATTAAAGTTGGAGTCAAGCCTTCTCGATTACATTCATATTGCCTTCGCGTCAGATACACACAGAGATACGCGCACGGCAGAGAGGTACGCAGTCTGCATAACCAAAAATGCACTCTGCATATAACCAAAAATGCACGGTCGTGCAATATAACATCTATTGAATATCACGTGACCAACAATCCCCCAATCAAATGACAAGGATCCACGTAGGTGTTGTATAAACACTGCTATTCTCTTGCTTTGAAATCTATCGCTTTCTTGAAAAACCTTCATAACCTTGTGAATGTACCCTAAATCCCCCCTAAATACGATGAATAATAATAAATATGGAGGGCCCATTACGTTACGTTTCTTAGTTAAATGGTTTAAACCGATATTGACGCCATTAGAAATATCTCTTTTTCATTCCATGTACAGTAACGGGTAAGATCGCAATACATATTTCTTAACAGTAAAGCAAAAATTTTACAGCGAATTCACGTCCCTTTTAAAAAGGCATATTGGAACTGTGATCCAATATTTCCTTGTGTCGTTTTTTACATAGTTGACAGTGGCGGATCCAGGGGGGGGGGGGGGGGGGGGGGGGGGTGCACGTCCCCCCCTCCCGGCCAAAAAAATATGTTAAAATCAGCCCTAAAATCACCCAAAATGTACTGAAAAACAGAAACGTGCCCCCCGTATCCCAAAAAAGTATTATTTTTTTTTTTTTTTTTAAATAAAAAAATATGCCAATGGGTAACCTAAAAAAGTGTCCCCCCTGACCCTCACGCTGGCTGAGTCGTTGCTATTTTGGGGGGGACTAAGACAAATTATTATGTTCTCTTTCCCACCTTGTGCCCCCCCCCCCCGGTAAGAAATTCCTGGATCCGCCCCTGGTTGATATTTTTCACTCAGTCGCTCTCCGCAGTCGGTAATCCATTATTATTATTTTCTTCTTCAGAGAATACGTTCAGATGATGGGTACTACTATGATGTACCACCGGCACCTCGAGGTTTCGATACCGTCCGCCGAGTACAGTCCCGGAGATTACCGACCGTGCCCACCATGTTCATTCCTCCTGAAACCATGCAGGCCGTTCTAAGAAGTCTTAGCAGAGATACGGGTGAAATGGAAAGACCCACGCTAGAGCATCAACCTGGTGGACGATCAGAGACAATCATACGAGAAGAGGTTCGGCTTTTCAAGAAGAGCCAGCTTCGAAGGGTTCTGTCTTTGTAGAACAAGATGAGGTCTACTTCGTCAACGAATGCTTAGGGTCCTGTTTTTTTCTTTAAGAGGACTTTGACAGGTCTTTGTGAAATCAAATGAGGTTATCTTTGGTGAGGCATTATTCCTCACTACCAACCAGGTCCCTCGGAGAGGACCTAAAGCCGTCGGCCGTCTGGTTGCTTACTTACAAGCATTTATGCTTTCTTAGCAGTCAGGTAAAATAACCATCACATCACATCATCATTTGTTGAGAGGACTTTGAGTCGGAAAGTATCGACAATAAGCTACCATTTGTCAGGAAGTCTCACAGTCGAGGAAAAATAGTGATGTAAAGTCAAATGAGGTACAGTTCATCAATAAGGCTACACGTGGTTGGATGTTAGAGTCAGATTCGACACTGTCACAAAGTCATGTTTGTCAAAAAGCCCCGGGACCGTGTAAAATCAGATGAGATACAGCTTGTTATAAAATATATACATTTTGATGGGTACAAGAAGGCTCAGACTCGACGGAAGCTGTCATCGTTTAACAAGATGGGGTCCGTGGCACTTTGTAAAATGATGTTCAGTTTAGTCGGGTACTGTCGATGTAAGACATAATTAGGTTCTGCTTATCAAGAAGACTCTGATCAGTCGAGGGATGTAATAAATGTAATGGGAATCACCCTACATTTTCTTAGAAAAGGTTCAGCTTTAACTGACTGTTAGTTTAGACAATAAACGTCAAGGTAATCGCTCACTAAGATAGAGGACCAGCTTCGGCAAAATGAGTCTTAGTTTGCCAAGAAACGCTACGCTCCTAAGGACATAGGATGATGTTCATCCCAACAATTAAAAAAAAATAAAGATCACTCAATCTTAATTTCACATACCTTTGCATATATTTAATTGATAAAGACTTTGAAGAACCATTTAACTTACAGTTCTAGGACATTCAGTTGCACCTGTTGATCGATTTGCAGCGTAAATACCCAACCAAGTTCATTAACTTTTATCTCATAGATTACGGCTATCACAATAGAAAAAAGCCAAGTCTTATGAATTTATTGAGAGCTATTTTACTATCTTCTCAATATTATTTTCTATAGATGGGAGTAAAGTTCACTGTTAATGTACAGCATTTTGTAATTTGTATACGATGTTTATGTGTTATACACTAAATAGTGACAAAAAGAATTACTTCACCTGATAATATAGTTGAGAAACAAACCAAAGATTAAAAAATTAACAAACATTTTACACCTATCAGAAATCTTAACCCATAGACAGTATGAAAGTTTATAGCATGACGTTTCTACACCAAATTAATGAATACAAATCCTGTAAATCATTTTTGTGAATTTTACAAGGCACTATGAAAATCACAGTCGTTTATTGTTATGAAAAATAACATGAATGTTTCCACCAATTCCTTTGTCTCTTTTTTGTTGTTTTAATTATCGACAAATTTCCATTTCTTGTGAATGATTTGGATTTAGTTGTCTTTCTTTCCGTCTTTCAATTCGTATTTATTTTACTCATTACTCATTCAATATCCTTATCCTCGATAAACGAGTCTACAGTTTAAAATGTCATTATCATTAAATAGGACCCAAAATATGAATTGTACGGATATTGTTCATGTTAACCTGTTTTATTTTGCATCATTAGTATGTTGTATTAGCTTCATTAGGTTACCAACCAGGGACATCAAATGACATTATAAGCTGCATTAATGAAACACCATTGTGACGTCAACATCTCTTTTGGGAGAATGCATAAAACATGGGGTATTCTCAGTGGATTAAGAAATTTGTCACCACAGGAACATAGAATGATTACTTTTCGTTTAATCCAAGTCCAATCTCTGTTCACGACTTATATTTGAATATTTGAACTCACATAAATGTACACGATATACAAAAAAAAAATTAAGTGACTTATTGTACAGAACTGAGTGTGTTTTTGTCGTATGAGTTTTGGGTCAAATGAGATTAACAACTATAAGGAGTATCTTTAATAATAGTATATGTGATAAAGGAAACTTACGTTACCGATGATGGTTTAAGAACGATGTAACAGTATGTTAACAGTATAAGCGATGCATTAACATAAATCATTTGGAGTGTCAAGTTTTGTTTGAAAGGATTTCTATAATCTACTCTGGATCGTAAGCATTCTATACCAATGGGTATGAATAGGTGAAGGGGTTATGACTGTGACTGTGACGCATCGAGAGATGCGAATCAAATGAACATTTTTGGTTTTGTATATAATCTACTTATAATGTATATTTTGCAAACAGCCCATTTATATAACCACGATAATCTATTTTCAATAAAAATTCGTAGGATATGAATGAATTACTTAGTTATGGGTGAATTATTTAAACATAACAGACCTTTTTGCTATCATCGCCTTAAAAGTCGTTTCTTCTATATAAGTTTGATCACTGCAACCAGGTTTTATTTAAAAATAAAAACATGAGATTGTGAAGAAGGACAAGAAGAAGAAGAAGGGGAAGGGGAAGGGGAAGAAGAAAAGAAGAAGAAGAAGAAAAGAAGAAGAAGAAGAAGAAGAAGAAGAAGAAGAAGAAGAAGAAGAAGAAGAAGAAGAAGAAGAAGAAATAGAAGACAGAGAGAAAGAGCGAGGGGAGAGAGAGAAAGAGAGATTGATATATAAAGAATAGATAAGAAGTTTTAAAAGATAGAGAGAGAAAGAAAAAAAATAGGTAGGGATTAAATGAGATAAAGAAGGAGGGGAGTATTAGGGAGAAATAGAGAGAGAGAGAGAGAGAGAGAAAGAAAATGTGTACCAATGAACAAAAGGATTCACACAATTTATCATAATGCTACGGAAGCCCATTAGTGCCACCTACGAAATAAATTTAAGAGAAATTATCTGGCGGCCGCCAGATAATTATCTGGCGGCCGCCAGTTAATTATCTGGCGGCCGCCAGTTAATTTCTCTTAAATTTATTTCGTAGGTGGCACTAATGGGCTTCCGTAGTGAGACATCTTTGAGACATCTGTAATCCAGTTCAAGCGGGGTAAGGGGCAGCATATGACTTTGTTTTGCTCGATTTGGACAGTTAACGCGACGTAGAAAATACCGGCACTTAACACTGTGCGGAGCCAAATGCAGATTTTACCGACTGACGCGCTGGATACGCGTCGCACAGGAGCGTATAGCTTTAGCTAGATGAACAAACGTACATTGGACCTATCCATTATAGCAAATGGGGGTGTATGATGTTAGGCTCATAAGCCTAGCTGTGTACAGTGGAAATTGGGACTCGGACCATCAGAAAAATATATTAATTTGTTAAAATTAGAGTGCATGATATCAGTATTTTGATCACACGGGTCTCCTGAACATGTGGTACAGCTAAAGAGAACGTTGTATCAGGGATATGAGAGTAATTCCTGGTTGTATGTATTCTGCCGTGGCACACACACAGGCCCCTATACACCCCAACGCATCACACACACAGTAGGCCGGCCTATATCAACCCAGGTCGGAATTCCAGTTGAAACCAGTAGGCAACTGGTACCAGTTAAAACCAGTAAGTCAACTGGTACCAGTTGAATCTACTGGTTTCAACTGAAACCAGTAGATTCAACTGGTTTTTAATATGGAAATTGAAACAACGCTAACTGAGACCAGTTGATTTACCAGTTCAATTACCAGTTGATTTACCAGTTGATTTACCAGTTGAATTTCCAGTTGAATTACCAGTTGATTTTTCAGATGATTATCCAGTAATCAATCAACTGATAATCAATAATCATTAATAGCCTCTGGTCACTAACTTGACCACGTATACTGACTCTTGCAATTACCCCATCACAATGATCATTTGAAGTAGATTACAGATGTGTATTGTGTGATATGACATATATTGTTCGTGCATACATATATACAAATTTATACTCTTTATTTCTGGTTAGTAATTACATATATATCAATATATCTCATTTTACGTCTTAAATCAGATGAAAAACATGATCAGACATGTGTAATATATTTGTCAATAATTAACTAAGAAAATGTAAATCACAAAATGTATGTGCATTGTCACATTTCCTTGAAAGATCATGATAATTATATTTTCTGTGAAAACATGCAAATCATGAATATTCATAAGATACATTGAACTGGTTTTTCAACTGGTAAGTCAACTGGTATTCGTACTGGTTTTCAACTGGTAAATCAACTGGTAATTATCTACTGGTTTTCAACTGGTAAATCAACTGGTAATCTTACTGGTTTTCAACTGGTAAATCAACTGGTAATCATCTACTGGTTTTCAACTGGTACTCATCTACTGGTTTTCAACTGGTAATCATCTACTGGTTTTCAACTGGAATCAACTGGTAATCATCTACTGGTTTTCAACTGGTAAATCAACTGGTAAACATCTACTGGTTTTCAACTGGTAAATCAACTGGTAACCATACTGGTTTTCAAATGGTAAATCAACTGGTAATCATCTACTGGTTTCAACTGGTAAATCAACTGGTAATATCAACTGGTCTCAGATGTCAACTGGTATTTCTACTGGTTTCCAAATTGTATCAACTGGTATCAACTGGTACCAGTTAAGACCAGTTGAGACCAGTTGAGACCAGTTCAAACCAGTAGATACCAGTTGGAAATCCTTACTGGTTTCAACTGGTATCAACTGGAATTTCGACCTGGGAACACACACGGCGTATTAAGCGCATACAATGGCAATACAGTGCGCGTAGTATACGGTACACTGCACTAGTACACGCGTATACCCTGCATGTCGAATGGATACAGTCCGGAATCCTGTCACACAACAAAAATCTCTTAATCATGGCTATACATACCTATAAATACATCTTAATTTCACTGATTTTGAAAACGTATTGTTATTTATGATATGGAAAGATTTGTTCCTATATAATTATTTTATAGTTTGGTTACATTCATTTAACTAATAGATATGAATAAGTGGCGTTTTGTTACCATTAAACGTCATGCTCAATTAGACATCAGCGTTGTAATAGAGCGAGCAATACATAGCTATTGCATACGCGCATCGACTTAAGAAAGCCACTTCAGGTTGTATTTTCTTACAGACATAACAATTTGTCAAGTCATTTTGACGGACCTATTTTTCAAGCAATCATAATAAATCTAATATATTATGAAAGCTGAGGAAATGACCTGTGTTCTCGACATAGTATATACTTTGTAGCTTATACCGTTCGGGCGCAAGTCCAATGGAAAAGTCACACAGGGGGCGTAAACAAGCACTTTTCTTCTAAATTACGCTTAAATCTCTTCCAAATTCTACCCATAAGTGTTTTGAAATCTTAAAAATGACGGAATTATCTATTTTCAAAAATTATTAAAAGTTACATGATTACAAAGAGGAAATATCAGGCATTTTATAGATGTTGGTATCTATTCTGGACAGCCTCCACAACTAATGCTAAACCTATCAAACCCGGCCAAAGTACGATTTTTCTGATTCCTTCCCATGCCTTTATAACGGGCGCTGAAAATCTCTTTCTTTAGTGCGGACGGGTGAACGCTTAACTGTCCCATGAAATTGATATGGCCGGGTATTTCCCCTAATTTGTCATACACGGACCCCATAAAATAACCTGGATCATGTTTTGCTGGTCAGAAAATGTATAGAAGTGGCCAAATATGTGAGGACCCTACGGAATCGTGGAAGTAAATTGTGTATAATGCGTGATTTGTGCTACTTTTCTATATTTTATAAAATGTAAATTGCTAACCATTAGATTCACAGATCTTGCATCCGCTGTAGACCTGTGCCTTACGAAATAATGTATCTGTATATGGAGATTGATGTTATACAGGTAATTCAATTTCACTTCAAATGAGATGTAAACTGTAAGAATTATTTGATGGATCCGCCCCTGGTGACTACCCCCCCCCCCCCCCCACCCCCACTCCCCGTATACCCCCTCCTCAGCCAAGCGACCCGAAAATTATGTTCTAGCGCCACTTACGACGAAAAGTCATACATGTGTGATTACGAAAATGGAAACTGTCCTGAGAATTTGTTCCAAACCATTGCAGAGTACACTATGTAGACTTCATGTTTTGTCTAATCCACATTCGGTAAGTACGGTAACGTAAGAGCATCCCGATAATCAGGTTAATAATGTAGATGCCTACCGTTGGATCCGTTGTTCAGGTTGAAGAAATTGTGGATAATGAAATGTGAATATTGTCTTTGGTCCCACATGTATAATTTCATGTAAGCCTATGCCTCAAGGCTCAAGTTAGCGATTAGAGCTGAGATCAAATCGCCCTCGCCTCGTCAAGGACAAGATAATGAATTAATTTTTTTTTATCAAGAAAACAATATATTTTTGCACTGTATAATGTTGAAGCTGTTTCTAAATGACTGTAATCAGCTAGTCTGTGACTTAGACTAGATCATCTAGGCCTAGACTAGGTCTACTCTTCGTTAAGGAGAAGAAGAACACTTTTTTTAAGTCGCTCAAGTCACTCTAGGGCTAGGCCTAGGGAGTAGGGGAGTCGGTAAAGAGGACCAAGAAAATACAAGAAAGTGCCATGTATTATAAATGTAAAGCCTTTTGATTGATAGTGAGGTTATCAAACTTGAGATTAGTCATAACTTTTTATAATATGCGGCCCTGGACTTCGCTCTTCAGGAGGCAGGAGGAAGAAGATCAAAAGAAATAAATTGTGGAATCTGAATCTGGAAATATTATGGCTTATCACTCCTGCTGGAGTAAATCATATCAAAGACATGTAAGACTAAGAAGGAGAGGAAAAGAAGAGGAATGAGAGGAAAAGAAGAGGAAGAAGAATATAATAAAGAATAAGCTCAAGGTAAAAAGACAGAGACAAAAATTATACAAAGTCAAGGAGAAAGTCACATAACAGAAGAATGATAATTGAGGTAATTCATAGATCTATATTGGAGTTGCTTTGTATCCTTGTAAATGTAAAGTTGTAATTGTGATGTATGTTGTATGTATTTCTGCAACATCAAAAGGCAGAAACTACATTAAAGGTACTAGACCTATGTCCCATTTGCAGGCCAAAAAAATGAAAAAGTTAAATTCCAACTGCATTTGAAAGATAATAATAATTTAGAACTTCCCTACAAAAAGTGGGGCTTGAAAATGTCTTCAAGTGGGAAAATAATGACTATTAGTTGTCAAATCGACTTTAGAGCTATAGAGCCCAAAAGTAATAGTCTGATTTTCAGACAATTGTACCGAATGGTCATACGTTTTATGCTCCGCAAACATTCAATCAGTTTAATCTTGGCCATCACAAGAAGTGGGTTATTGATGT